TTGCTCCGGAAGAAATTTGGTTTCATCCTCTCCAAGACAAACCTATTTATTTCCTGGTGATTCATGATATGTTCAGTAATCTTCTCCAGTACCATAACTCAAAGGCATTAATTCTTCTTCTGTCATCCTTCATCATTGTCCAGCTCTTTGATGCATAGCAAGTAATTGTGAAGACCATGGCCTTAATCTCTAGAATGACATCATTGCTCTTTAGCACTTTGGTGAGGTCCCTGACAGTAGACTTCCCCAGTGCAATTCATCTTTTGATTTCTTGACTGCCAGTGCCAAGAGTGTTGATTGTAGAGCCAAGCAAGCTGACATTGTTAACAACCTCAATCTCTTCTACATCCACCTTGGTGTTACCAATTGGCCCAGTGGTCAAAATCTATGTGTTCTTAATGTTAAGCTTCAATGTATATTAAAGACTACTGTCCTTGGCCTTATGCAACAAATGCTTCAGGTCCTTCTCAGTTTCGGCAAGCAAGGTTATATCATCTACCTAATGCAGGTTGTTGATGTTGATGAGTCTTCCTCCAGTCTTGATGATACTTTCCTCCTCATAAAGTCTAGCCCCCCAAATAATCTGTTCTGCATACAGATTGAAAAGGTATGGAGACAAAATGCATCCCTGATACACCCTTTTCCTAATTTTAAACTATGCAGTGTTTCCTTACTCTGTTCAGTATAAGCTGTAAAAATTGGCCAGGTGCTTATTGTGGGATAGACCATCAACTGTTTATATGTAACTTCAAACTAAAGCTAAAGAAGGTTAAATAAAATTCACAAGAACCAAAATTTGACCTTAAGTCTATCACACCTGAGTTTGAAAACCATCTTAGGAACAGATTTGAGGCCCTGCACATTTATAAATAAAGACCAGATAAAGTGTGAGAGGATATCAAGAATTTCATCCAGGAAGAATGCAAAAGGTCATTACAAAGAGGAGGAAGCAAAGACCTAGAGGGATGTGAGAAGAGCCTCTAAATATTGCAGTAGAACACCAGAAAGCCCAATCAAAGGGAAAAAATCAATAGGTTAAGGAGCTGAACAGATTTCAAAGGGCATCACGGAAAGACAAAGCAAAGTGTTATGGTGAAGTGTGCAAAGAGCTAGAGTTGGAAAATCAAAAGGGCATACTTGCTTGTCATTTCTTAAACTGAAGGAACTGAAGAACAAATTCAAACCTCAAGTTGCAGTGCTTAAAGATGCTTTAGGCAGAATATTGAATAATCACAGGAAGGATGAAAAGAAGATGAAAGTATACAGAGTCACACAGAAGAATTTAATGAAACAATACATGATGAAAAGGCCATGGTGACTGAAGAAATTCAAGCTGCTCTGAAGGAATTAGGCTCAAGCAATTGTTGACATACCAATTGACATATTTCAACAAAGAGATGCTGCCCTGGATGTGTTCACCAGCTTTTGCCAAGAAATACGGAGGAAAACTAACTGACTGGAAGAGATTCGTATTTATTCCTATCCCCAAAAAAGATTATCTGACAGAATGTGGAAATTATTGAGCAATATCACTAATATCATATACAAGCAAAGTTCTGCTGAAGATTATCCAAAAACTACTGGAACAGTACACCAGCAGAGAACTACCTGATATACAAGCTGGGTTTAGAAGAGACCATGGCACAATCAACATTATCATCAAAGTCAGATGGAGCTTGACAGAAAGCAAAGAGTACAGAGGAATGTCTATCTGTACTTCATTTACTATGCAAAGGCATTTCACTGTGTAGATCACAACAAATTATTGCTATCTTGGAGAATGGGAATCCCAAGACCAGGAGACAGTTGTCAGAACAGAGCAAGGAAACAGTGCATGGTTCACAATTAGGAAAGGAGTAGGTCAGGGATGTATATTGTTTCCATAACTCTAGAACTTTGTAAAATTTCCCACAAACACCTTATCTTTTCTGAAAAGGCACTCATGTGTTATATTCTCTATGAAGCCCTCTTTAATCTTATATGACCAAATCATTATCTATCTATCTATCTATCTATCTATCTATCT